GTTTGTCTGCTTGCTGCTGACTGGCTGCTGGTCTGTAAAGTCTCTTGAGCCCTGCCCTGCCTGCGAATTTACGCCCACCACTTATAACTCCCTCCGGTGGCTCTCAGTGTTTTTACAGATTGCTTCTCAATTTTCCACAAGTTCTATGTTGCCATCCACAGGTTCTGGAATTCTTTAGGAAACGAGGAAGGAAGCCAGATTATCAGTTTTTAATGTCATTAATGGGAAATGTCGAACTGTTTGATTTGCCCCAAGAGGATAATTTTACGCAGTTGCTGCGAGAAGTAGAGTAAAGCACACCTGGTGAAGAGATAGGGCCAAGCCGTATTGAAGCGTTGAGCGTCTGAGATGTTGTCAAGACCGCATCGACCGTAATCCCCTGTCATTATCATTAACCAATTACAGAACCAACAAGAGTTTGTCTGAGGAGGTGTCGCCATCCATTAGAAGGTGCGGAAATTCTACCGAGATTTTTTTAAAGATGGCGTAGCTGGCGGTACCAAAGAACCACAGCGACGATTAACGTATATGGGGAGCCTACACCCTTACGGGCTTTTATGATCACGAAAACAGCTAACTATTTCACGACTAACGTATGCTTTTGGGATGCAAGATACGTGAGTATGGATGTATGGGGGACCGCATCTTGTGTCCTGTCAAATGTAACTTGTACTTCTGTCTTTGATTTTGGGCGCCCATAAGCCGCACAATGCCATAGCTGCATCTGAGATGTTGTCAAGACCGCATCGACCGTAATCCCCTGTCATTATCATTAACCAATTACAGAACCAACAAGAGTTTGTCTGAGGAGGTGTCGCCATCCATTAGAAGGTGCGGAAATTCTACCGAGATTTTTTTAAAGATGGCGTAGCTGGCGGTACCAAAGAACCACAGCGACGATTAACGTATATGGGGAGCCTACACCCTTACGGGCTTTTATGATCACGAAAACAGCTAACTATTTCACGACTAACGTATGCTTTTGGGATGCAAGATACGTGAGTATGGATGTATGGGGGACCGCATCTTGTGTCCTGTCAAATGTAACTTGTACTTCTGTCTTTGATTTTGGGCGCCCATAAGCCGCACAATGCTCATAGCTGCAAAACCTTTAGGAGGTAAGTAAAACTTTTTGCGTCAAAATGTTGCACTTTGTCGCATATGTACTCAAGACAAAAACCATCTCATCTGCGTTCATATTTACGCGGCTCACCAAATCGCATTGTCCTTTGAAGCGATGATACAAATGGCAGAAAAGTCTGGTGGAACACTTTCTTAGCATCGCTGAGACCCCGAGATGCCTAGATAGTGCTTAAAAGTTTTGATTGGTACTCTGAACTCAATTGCCTGTCTGCCATCAGGCACATGTTGTAGCTTTTGGAAATTCATACTGAGAGCCTTGATTCTGTGTTCGAAGGTCGTACAACTCAAGTCCCGCTTATTTTTATGACGTAAGCAAAATCACACTTGAAGGTGGGCATAAAAATAAAGCGCATTCACTACTTAAAGGTTGTATCTTTGACATACTTTACCCGGTTTCTGAATGGGAGAGCGGCCGGGGATGTGCAAATTACGACCCTCGGTTATTTTCACATCCTACCGCCAAGTACTCTCTTTTTGGTAAAATTTCACTTGAAGTGAGACAGTGAAGGTGAACCACGTTTTCAAAGATCTCCAAACACTGTGTCAAGATGCGTATGGTTAATTTATCAATGTTTTTATGACGAGGAAGAACCCTTCAGGTGGTGCCATCCTATCCGGGAGGGATTAAATTTTCGGTAGTGAATAATTCCTCGAAGCAACTATCCGCATGAGGAAAATCCTTCTTTTCGAGAACCATCGAGAAAAAAATTTCTGTCTATCGATTGACAGTTCCTTCTGCACCGATCCAGATCTACAAATCGGCTGTCAATTTCCGATGACTGGTTTCGGTGGCGCTGTCACTTCACGTAATTTCGCTCGCACTAATAAATTACTGGTTGATTGCTGCATGATGGCAAAATCAGCGAAAGCTAGCATTCTTCGTCCCGTGATGTGTAGCAGACACTGGTCAAGCCGATTCGATAGTTTAGTCTAGAACATATTCTCGGTAGCTGCAATACAAATTAGGATAATGCAGTTCGAAAGTACAGTGATGCATTTTACGGCAACTCGGCATCTTTTATTCCTTCAGTGACAAACTTTGCGTGATTTTGACAATAATTAATTGGTATTTTTTGACAAAAATTTATTGGTGTTTTTTGACATAACATGCTGCTTATAAGGTTGCTGCGAACTCTTCGAATTTGTGTTGTGCATTGCAACAGCCGGAATATCGTGACAGATGAAATACCGGGCGGCCTTTTTGCAAAACATTCTTTTGAAAAATATCTCCTCCCAACACCAACAAAATTTGCAGCTTTATTTTCGTTCACCGAAACGGTGCCTCCTTTGTATGAACATGCGGAACGGAGAACAAAAACGACTTATGAATGGTGGTATAGGATGGAAAAAATAGGATTTATTGAGTGTTGGTCAAGCCAAAAATACGAGGTTTAGAATGTTCAGCCAAAGTTTACCTTTGACGCTCTGGCGATACGAAAGCAAGTGTCTAATTCTAGGCGTAAAGTGTTCCTGCATAAAAATAGCTTCTGTTTTTCCATTATGGGTAGGTGGCAAAAAGACCCACTTATTTGGCATTTGATCAGGTGGCTGTTGATCAGTTCGCCAAGCTTGGTAGTTGAGTTGCAACCGTTTCGTCACCATTCGAGGAGACATCTCTAATGCACTGTTGGGTGGGTGATCCTTCTCATCTTGCCTGTGATTACATAGTTTACAAGAAGCAGCTTTTGCACTTCAACCTGATTGGCCATTGACAATAATCGTTCCTGGATTCTGATTGGTCCGATCATAATTTTTTTTGCTTTATGGTCTGTATTTCTTGCTTTCTACGGTCACGGTGCTGTTGAACTTGGCGTCCATTATTGTCTCATCCGGTTGATCCGTCCATGATCTGTATTGTGTCGTGGTCGGCTTCTCGGTTGTTTGATTGGTTGGTGGTCTACCTCCGACTAATGCACCCAAGCTACTAATATTTCAACATATTACCAGACCTACTTATTCATAATGATTGGAATCAGGAGGCCAGACACATTTGTTGCTTTCCTGAACTTACAAATTGTGTAGTTATGCGTACTAGACATCACCTAGAACGGTGGGTCTTAATAACGTTTTCGTCAATCAGCGGATCCAGTTACTGGACCAAGAATCTGGCAATACCGGCATACCAAGCAATTCCCAACAACACCGCCAACTGTACACGATTCTACAATTACTGATTCAACAATACTGACGTAGCATTGCGTTCAGTGATACTTTGGTTTCGACGTCAACGCAAAACCCCTCTGGAGTATCACACAACCCACTTGCGCAAATTAAGAGTGCACTCTGAAATAAATATATTAGTCTGGTAGAAAAAACTATTTGTTCATATTATTGCCCAACACTGCTCCTTTATTACTGTTCGTTTAGTTTACAATCGATCACTGTGATTATAATCCTGGTCAATTTCTCACAAGCGCATTACGCATTACAGTGATCAGTTGACTGATGTGACCAATTAGGTCAACGATGTCATGTGACCTGGCACTTCTACCTTACTTTTTGATAGCGGCAGCTGCGTTGTTCACATGCGAGATACCTTACATCCTGACTTTCACAATTTCCAGGCCATTAAGTTAGTTGGGGTCAAGACGCACGTTTTGGCATTTAAGGTGGAACAAATGAGTGAGGTTTGACCGATTCGTTTGCGATAAATTGTTGACCATTCGCCAGTGAGATGGGTAGATCGGTCACCCCCTTTTCACCCACGACCCTGCGACGCTGATTTGGCCGTGCCCACTGCGTAAGCAAAGCTTACTGCTGATTTGAGCAGATTCAAGTCACGTGCTCTTGCGTTTCGGATCATCTGTGATGAACCAGCAAGTTGAGGGTACAGAGGACGGAGCAGTTGCTGGCTGACTAATAAGTGTGAAGCCGTCTTTTTCAAGTTCACCACTCCAGATTCTCAATATTAGATGGCACAAACACGTTTTGGTTATGTGATTTGTTGTAGGAAACTTAAGCGTTTTGATTAAGTGACTGAAAGTGGTTCATAGTCATTATCTCATCGATGGGAGACAAGTCGTTAGAATGCACACTGAGGACGTTAAATCCGGTTGGCTTCAACACATTGGTTCCGAGTTCCTGTTTGGCAGAGCACAAATTCCTATGGATATTGGTGACACGGAAAGTGTCGAACTGTGGCTTAAGCCTAATAGTATGTGACTGGAACTTCATCAAACTGGGGGAAGACTTCAGGATCACCAAAAATCAATAGGCGCGTCTTGGACACAGGTAATATCATTCTTCCCAAACACTCGTCATTCTGGAACGTTATGGCATGTTAGACCGGGTCTCAGTAATACACTTGCGTTTCATGTTCACTAGAAGCGTCCCTCAGGGAAAGCATTCTTGTATCCTTTGACAGTGTCTTCTCAACTGGGAAGATTTTTAACTCACGAAAGGTGATGATCAACCCTACTTTCTTCTCAGCGGTCTATCTGTACAATGCATCCATGTCACTGTTTTGGATAGAACTACCTAAACGGATTTCAACCTGGCTCTATCAAAATGCCCCAAGAGCTCCATAATTATCTGCTGGACAGAATTAGGGCACTTTTCAGTTTTTGCTCTGATGCTTCCTGTTTTTAGTGCATAGCCCGGTCAAACCTGTGGATTTGCGTGCCACATGTCCAGCTGCCTTCACTGTTAATTTTGTGATTGATATACAGCACCCCCTGACTGGCATTGTGATGTGCACATTGTTCCTGTACGTTGCCTTAACTAGCACGAGCAACCAGGCGAAATTTGCTTTGTCTAACACAAACAGTGCGCCAGACGGATGGTCGATTTTTTCTCCGGCAGCCAATCAGCTTGGGTGTGCTTGTGCCTGAACTCTGGTTCTTTTCTGTTGGTTAGACGATTTCCTGGTACGCATGGGTGAATGTCTATATCGTATCAGCTAGTAACCTGGCGTCTTGCTAATAATTTTATAACCCGAAGCAGTGCCTGGTCGGACTTTCCGAGTTCTTCTGGATTGACAGTGTGACATAAATTTTACTGGCGTATTGCTTACCCACCTGTAGGTGTGCTATGCAAAAGATGACGTAGCAACACGCAACAAATTCAGACCAGTTATTTATCATGACACACCTTTCAAGGACCATATGGAATCGAATTTGGGATTGTCTACCCGAACTAATTCCGCAACCGCCGCCAAGAATTCAGGACTTCGGTGATCTACCCTACTTCCATCCATGCCGCCTAGGAAGGCGAGAAAAACCCAGTCGGGAGCAACTGGATTTGACAAATCCAGTATTCTTCCCCGTTCGATCCTCTTTACCGCGAGAATCCCTAGGAAACCGATCAGGCGAAGTTCCAATGAGTAATTATAGATGGCTGTTGAACAAAAAGTTCACTTGTGTGTGCATGTGGTTCGGAGTGATTTGTTTCATTGTCGGAGTCATTGCCCTGCAAATTGCCAGCTTTTTCAAACACGAGAAGTCGTAAGTTTCCTCAGTTTTGACGTATTTCCTTAACCGGAGTTGGTCTTATGTTAGTTTATGATCCAATTTGTTCTTTAGTTTATTGTCAGTGTGCTTATTTGTTTGGTACTTAATAGGTATACTTGCTGAACGACATAAATGGAAGAGAGTCTGTTTGTCTGTCCCCTGGGGATCGGGGTTGATGACATCATGTCACCATAAGCTGTTTATTGGGAATTAGGTAACCAAATTAACAATAGTGATGCTCACTGACGCAAATTATGTAATGGATGGTGGTGTATAAGCTATAGTCTGACAAACTGGATTGTCTTCCATGCGCAAATGACGTTACTCTCTCTAGAAACCAGGGTTCGTTCTATCCCAATGAATGTGCGCTCTCTGATGGGATCAAAATGATCGATTTATTGGCTTTTGATTTAAATGCACTTGGGTGATCTTCAAAGACATGCCGTTTGTACTTCAACTGTGTTACTCCACCAGATTACAGCTGAACTGCAGTGCGAACTTTCCAAATTCAGCAACAAATTCCATGTACTGTACTCATGACCGTTAAAATTTTTGAAGCATGGCAATTCCCTATCCCTCTTGGGATCATTTAGCTGTATTTCTGGGCACGCCCGGTCATCTTTACTACGTCTTTCACCTTTGTGCAACAGTAGAGCAAAGTCAATTTTTAGTAAAAGGATGTTAGAGGATGTTAGATCGTTTTTATGCCTCGGGATCGGACTAGTGTTCGACCAGTGATTTGCGGGTAACTCAATCTCTCACGGACAAAATCAAAGGTTTCCTTCAACCTGATACTCAACCCGACGGGTACGAACAAACAAATAATAAGGCAGTGGTTGCTTTGTTACCTGGGCTGGATTATCTAGTCATTACGATTGAAGAACAGGTCACTTTGCCAAAATCGCCAGCACGTGACACAATTGTGACATCCTTGGTAGAATGAAAAAAATTGTAATACCCGTCAAACTATACGGGAAGTCTGACTAGGCTGTTACAGAAGTAGCCCAGGCAGTTTATACCGATTTCAATATAATCAATGAAAAGGAGCGTACTTCGTTAGTTATGTGCAATTTGATGCTTATGAAGAACACGGTATGAAGAAAGATCTGAGCCTGTATTTACCTGTTGAGTGGCAAGAAAGACCAAACGGTAGTGGGTTGTCAAAGAGTTTACAGCGGAGGTAACGGCGGGGCTTCTGTTCAATATATGGGGAGACCCTCATTAAACTTTATTGAAACAACTGTGAAATTGTGGTGTTTTGCTATTTCCGGTTTGTCTAGCACCACACATGTTTGAACGAATCAGCTTTACAACTGGTGACATTCAATGGGCTGAAATTTCTGGTCAGTTCATTAGAACGCGAACTTCCAGGGAATAACGGAATTTAGGAAGTGCGCTTGTCGCTTCTCAAACAAAACGACAGAACGTGAGGATCAAATCTGCCTTTCAGGTTTCTAGAAACATCATACACAAGCAAACCACTGCTCTGCTAAGTATATGGTTAGAGTAGAGTTAAGGCTGCTACGTATTTCCCAACTGACTTCATTCAATAACCCATTTGGCTTTAATTCCACACCACAAAATTGAGGCAGTGGTAAACTTTGTGGCGTTTTATGGATTGTAGTTCACTACAGGGATATTATTCCCACCCAACAAAGCACAATTTAAGTTAAGCCATGAGGCTAGCCTCAGGGCAGCTGAGACAAATCAATTGCATTTCGGTACTACTAATAGTAGTACCTACTGGTTTTGTGTCATAAATGTTATGTGCACTTGCTGTATACCGACAAATGTAGGTAAATGTGCATAAATCACTGACATTTAAACAAGAAGCAGAGAATTTCTCAAAAGGACAAAAATTCCTCAAAGCACTCACTAACTTCATCGTTTCATTTCAAACTTCGCAAAATTTGAGCTCATGACTGTTTTGCCATCTGTGCTTTAGGTCCTTCTCCGGATACGATTACTTGGAATTAGTTTGCGCTTTAACCCGCAAGCGAAAAATTCAATGAGCTGTCTTCGAAAATGACTACTGTAGGACTAAGAGTATTCGACTCGATTTAGCGTGGTCTAAACTTGATTTGAACCGTGCCAGCGTGAACAAGAAACAACCCTAAGTGCTCGCGTGGGAAACATCCTCGCAAACAGGGATCCGGAAAGACCATGTAGGTTTGAGGACTAAATTTATTTTGACACCAGTTAAGTGTCGGACCAGGTGGTTGGAAGTAGAATTGTTCCCGTTAGTGCTAAGGATGGGTGTACATATGTATGGCACAAGGCTGCAACAGTTCACCTCACAAGTCAGACCACTTGCAATTTCGCTTCTGTAAGTTCCATTGCCGATTTGGACCCTTCTAAAAAACTCTATCATGCACCGAACTAGACCACCTCTGGTGAGTCTCCCCGGCAGTATTCACAGATGAAACAGTTTCCCGCTCGTGCAAAAGCCTTTCGTTTTCTGGATACTTAGGTCGGGCAAATGTTACAATGTGATTCATCGAGCGAGAGTCTCATTATCCAACCAATTCGGTGTTTACAAAGTAGTAGCTTCCTGAAGGAGTTGTCTTGAAGTGACTTTTAACCTGGTGAATATGTGCTTAGGTATTCTATCGACATAACAGACGTTTTTGTTATATTGCTGTTATTATTCTCCACATGTGTGTTCCGTTCATATTTATGCATGATCGTTTGATCGACAGTCTGTTTTTCATCACACGGATGACCCCCCCCCCGAACCAAGACCTATTAAGATTTACCTGTGATTAACCTTTTTGAAACACAGACAGCTTTTTTTACATGATATATTCATTTCTGAAGCTGCTGCACAAAACCGGGAATTGTGTGGCGAAGTTCCGAACAGATATCTGTTTTTATCGCCCACTTTATGACATGCTTGCTTCCGACAGCTCATAAATTTCAAAATGACTCACATTGCAGACGGTCATAAAAAGTACCACAACTGAACAATACGATCATTCCGCACATTATTCAAAGGAAAATAGACAAGCTTTATTGATTAGCATCTGTCATGAGAGAATAGCTTTAAATAGCTATGTGTAAGTTCTCTGGTTACAGCCTGATATTTTCAGAAATACTTCACCTTATATCCTCAGTGAATTCAACGCTGAGTGGCAAGGGATTTTGGCGGTTTATCTGTATGGTTGCTTAGTTGGGCGCTACGATGTAGTGGTTTGAATCAGTTGTGTAACCAATAGTATTCGGGCAACTTTCGTGAAACTCTTTTGAACTTGGAGGGGAAGAAAAATCAATTTTTATGTTCAAAATATTCGACAATACAACGCTCAATAGCATAATAGTTCCCATGATCTATCAGTACGCTTCAGCGTTACCGAACACTCTTCTGATTCTCCGTAAATTTCTGGCAAATCATCTCTAATATGGAGAAAACGGATGATAGTTCAATAAGTCACAAAAACTTTGTTAAGTTTTTGATGACCTCTCCTCTAGAGCATATGAAAATTCTTCTTTGCTTTTACCCCAGAGAAACATATGCTGAACTAATTACAAGGAAATGATAAAATTACAATGCTTTGGGTCTTAGGCTTTTGGTGGTTTACATTTCAGGATGGTGTAAATGAGCGGGGCCTCAGACGACCGAATGATACCCTGAATTTTTTATTTGGCCACTTGCACTTTGTTAGACTCGGCGGGAATGCCGCGAGACTCCAAAACGATACTTCACTCTATAAACTCCAAAATACGCTTCCACGGGCAGTTCTTTAATTCCAGTGTGCTGAGCACTTGTAGGTTGCCGGTGTTCCACCATCGCTGAAATTACAAAATTACCAAAACACTCCAGAACTGATAGCGCCCTTTCCGGATTTGATATGAAATCTCTTTTTTTCTAAAGTTAACTTTCGCTAGCTGTCTTGTTGTTTATCTGACCAATACTTCTGTGCCCAAAACAGATGCTTCGCTCCTGAGAGTGACATGATGGCACACACGAATGACAGGAGACGTCAAGTTGAGTGGCATGCAACCATGTGGCGAGAACAACATGTCGGATGACAGCTGGCTACGAGTTTCAAGCATGCTTATTAGAAAACGCAGCAAGCCCAGGTTGTTGGTTCCACATATCGTGGCATTAGGGATAAAAACCTTGACGAGGTTGTCGTTGTTGAGAGAACTAAACTGTGATTATCGGCTGAAAAAACCACAGGACCGTATAATTAGGTCACTTTAGGCAACTAATTTCATCGCCCTCGGTTTGGCTAAGAGGGATTCCTAAACCATGAATTGCCTAAATTCTACCAAATACCTCTAACCATTATGTGTACACCCAAAGCGCGATTACCTTTACAGCGAGTTTGAAGTTGCTGTGATGAGTAGGAAAGAAGATGAATAATCTAAGGACATTTGGGTTATTTTGAGTCACGCCTGGTTCTTGTGAATTGCATGAGGTTAGATTAAGGTCGGGTAGGATACAGTGAATGCAATAAAAAACAGGCACGTTTTATGATAAGGACCTTCATGAATACTAATGGACAGATTGCCGATAATATTTGGAAAATTTGCGAAATCACTTAAAGGAGAAATACACCGAAAAATAATATGGACACCTGGCAGGATGAAGAAGTTCCAATGCAGTTTTCTTTTTTCAGCATTGTTGGGAGGGGAAACTGACTTCTGGCTCTATAGTTTGGAACAAAATTCCCAGTCACTGAACATTGGCACATTCACTGTGTGATCCTTTCGTTGATTGTTGATATCGAAGGCATGCGTTACCTATTCACCAGTCAGCCTTTTATTCGCAACCGCCTAGACTCAATACAAAATAATCCGTCGTAACAACGATGAAGCGTTACTTTTCTAGGCATTTTAGTAGTGAACCAAACATGTTCATCGCTCACAAATGTGCTGGAATGTCAGTTGCGGTAACCTGCGTAGGCCATACGCGACGTTCCGTTTCCTTGTACTGCTGGAATTGCGGACAAGTAGGGTCAAAGTCTTCACCATTTCTATTTATCTCCTAC